TGAAAGCAGATCTAGAGAAGCAATTATTCCCTTTTATTCGGCTCTGGTGAGGCCACATCTGGAGTATTGTGTCCAGTTCTGAGTCTCCCACTATAGAAAGGATGTGGACGCATTGGAGAGGGTCCAGCCAAAATGATCAGGGGGCTGGAGCACATGACCTCTGAGGAGAGGCTGATGGTTTTAGGTTTATTTAGTCTGCAGAAGAGAAGAGTGAGCGGGGTTCTGATAGCAGCCTTCATCTTCCTTAAGGGAGGTTCCAAAGAGGATGGAGAAAGGCTGTCCACAGTAGTGAGGGATGGCAGAACAAGGAGCAATTGTCTCAAGTTACAGTGGGGGAGGTCTAGGTTGGACATTAGGAAAAACTATTTCACTAGGAGGGTGGTGAAGCACTGGAATGGGTTCTCTAGGAAGGTGGTAGAATCTCTATCCCTAGAGGTTTTTACGTCTCGGTTGGACAAAGCCCTGGCTGGGTTGATTTAGTTGGGGTTGGTCCTGCCTTGGATAGGGGGCTGGACTTGACTCCTCAGATCTCTTCCAGCCCTATGACTCTATGATTAGCTCCTGGCCTAGGAGCAACCCTGCTACAGTTCTGCCTTTTCAATGTATTAAGAGGAGGGAGGCTTGCCGGCTCATAATACATTTAAAAGGCTGGCGCACAGCAGGGGACCCAGTGTGAGCCCGGCCAGCTGATTCCCAGAACTGTTTTTGCTGGTGCCAGCAGGGAGGCTTTGTTCGTCGCCTCCAAGGGCTCCTTAGTGGAGGCACGTTCTTTCTCTTTTTAATTGAGGTCACAGCTCTTAGCACTGCTGGCCCCACATACAAGCTGCTTGTCCGACCCCTTTGTGCTGGAGTGGGGGTGCAGCATTCTTCCAGAGAGGACGTTTCCTCATGGGAGTCAGTCTCAGAGGAGGAGTAGGACCCCCTTCTTGGGGTGGCTATTGCCCTGGTCCCTTGGGCTTGTTCAGGTGGAGCCGCTCTCTCCGACCTCGTCCCAGGTGATTTCTGACTGGGAGGGGTATTCTGCTTGGGGTCACAGCCCAACTGAGCTTTTTTCTCAAGCGGAATCATTTTTATTTGTAGCTCCCTGGCCTTTCTGGTACAAGCTATTAATTTTTTACAATGAAGACAGTGCTCTGTGGGGTGCTCTTCCCCAAGGCAGCAGATGCCCTGGTCGTGTAGCAGCCCGTACACTTGAAACCGGGCAAGCCAGGCATATCACAAGGAGCAGGAGAGGTTTTTAGTGGAACTGCAGTGTCCGGAGAAAGAGACTAATCTAAACAACTAACCCTAATAACTAACAGAACCAGAAAAAAAAATTGAAGAAAAAGGAAATTTAAAGTGTAACTATTTAGTAACTAATTCTGCGGTAATAAGTATCTAAATCGCTATGAAAACCACGCTAAAACTATCTCTAGTAGAGGCAACTGCTGAGCTGCAACCAAAGCCGACGGCAGATGAGAAGGAACTGAGGACACAGCCGGCTGCATGGGCACAGTAGCCGCCCCAGATTGCACGCATGCAGCCAGCCATGGGGCACTGATCTCACAAGTCTCCACAGGGACACTCCTGGAAGAACTAGCTTATTCCTCAGACTAACTGGAAATAGTTTGGAAAAGCCCTAAGTGTTATCCAACCTTCTAGACTGTAAGCTCTTCGGGGCAGAGGTTGTCGTTGATTATGTTTGTACAGCATAATACACTACCACAAAATAAAGTGCTTATTATTGACAAACATATGTACAGTGGCATGAATGAGTGAGTTTCTTTGCATTATCTTCCCTTGCCACGAAGGCAACAATTTCCACTGCAGCAGCATCATTACCATGATGTTTTTCTGAGGATGCTAGAAATCATTATGAATTCTTTAAAAACAGCTCTATACCAAATACTGACTCGGGGATCTAATAAGTATACATTCAGAGCTGGTTTCCAATTTTTAAACACAAAATCAGTTGGCTTTAGGACTTTGAAAGATTAATCAATGTAAAAGAAAGGATTTTGCCTGCTGGCCTGCCAATTGGTATAGCATTTATCCTCTCCAGTGTATCTTACTAGTTTATTTAAATCAACTCAACTAAAAAAAGTAGTATTCCTGCTTACTAGGAGAGGAGTTAGTTAGTTAGTTAGTTAGTTAGTTAGTTAGTTTCCTTCCTTCCTTCCTTCCTTCCTTCCACTGCAAGAGTACCTGAGCACAGACAGGTACTCAAACATTGTGGCCAAGAAAATTAACTGAGCTAGGACATCACTTTATAACCAATATAAAAATATTGGAGAAGAGACTTTTCTCTGTTATGAATATGAGTTTCCACTTCTCTCATACTGCGACCACACATACTGGGTAGGCACAACAAAAAGAGCTGGTCAGTGAAGAATAGGTTAGGCACCACAGGAAAGACTAAATCATTTAAGATCCCTCAGGAATATTAAAACCTGGATACTTCACCCAGCTCTACTCAGGATGTACAGTGTGCATGAAAGACTATTAGTGAAGTTTGTCTACAGCAGGGAGGTTTTTATTCAAAATACTAATCCGCTCAGAAGGCCAAAACAAAACGTATGTCAATTCTGGTTCCCACTCCACTGGAACAACAGTTCCTCAAAATTCCCGAAAGATTACATTCTTGGCAGATACATCTTCAGGACTCTTCTTGCACTGACAGCGTTCCACCAAGTACCTCTAGCAAACATTTTTACAAAAATAATGCCAAACCAGAGAGGGTCAGCTTTCCCTTTGGATTTGTCTATACTAGGGGTCGATTTATTACTAATTAATGTGCGGTATCTATTCTATCTGTAAAAATTAATATGGACACTTCACGCACATCAGTGATGTGTCCACATTAGTTTGTGGCAGCAAACTCAAATTGATTTCTAATCCATTAATTAGAGGTAAAAAATCCTCCAGTGTAGACAAACTCTTTGAGATACTGTACATTAGGACTCAGCTTCCTAAAAAATTACTAACACATTTAAGCTATAACTAATCTAGGACACAAACTCTACAAAAATGTATATTCTGTCAAAATAAGAGGTATTACCTTTAATCCTATGCAAAAATGGATTTCATACTTGGGTAATCATAGCTCATCATCAGCTTTTATCCAAATATTTAAAATTAGGAAAATGAAATATAAATGGATGCATAATCTTCTGAAACTGCATACAGCCTCAATAATAGCTCCGAGATGTCTACTGCTTCAGTCATTCCAAGAGGTGAATTTTGAAATCTAAATAATTTAGATCTAATCCACTCCACTGTTAACTATTTCCTTGCTTGATCATTTTAGGTACTCTTAATTCCTAACTGAGTTTGTAACCAGTTAATAGCTTCTTTGCTCTATGCATGATTTATGTTTCCATTAACTAGGATAAATACTTTATTAGTATATGTAGCCGCTTGTAGTGTGTTTTGCCACTGCCAGTGACCTACACTGCCACCACTGCTTCTGGTGAACAAGCCACTATATTTTATAATGTAGCTGGGACCCCATAATTGTTTACACATGGGAAAGAGGTAGGAGATGTGCCTTAGGGAATCGGCTGTTAAGAAGGCTCCCCACGCACACCAGTTCCCACCTGCTCCCCACACCTCCCATTCTGCTGTCTCTGTGGGAAGCAGAAGCACGGGGGGAAGGGGCAGGCTGCTCCAGGGAAGGCAGCACATGCGGGGACACAGCGGCAGATTTAGGGCAGGGCGAGCGGGGCGGCCGCCCTGGGCCCTGCGCTTCCCGAGGCCCCGCGCATGCGCTGTATCAAAGGGGGGGCCCCGCAAAATTTTGCTGCCCGGGGCCCCACGGCGCTGCCCTGGGCCCCGTGGCACTCTCATCCGCCCCTGTGGGGACATACTAGCTCCCACTTCCCTCCCCCCACCCTTGTCTCTGTATCAGAGGCAGGAGAGGTCAGGCAGCTCCACAGGACCTGACATTAGAGGCAGAAGTGGTGGGGGGGGCAAGGCTGGCTCGGCGACATTTGGTGCTCAGGGGAAGCCAGCTCCACGCATACCGGCTCCTGCCTGGCCCTCCGAGCCGCTGATACAGAAGCAGCAGGAGGGAGGGGCAGCCACATGTAACCATTAGGATTACCCGATAAGCCCAGGCTCATTGGTTATTCATGTAAATGGCTACACGTTTACATCCCTACTCTGGACAGTACTTACAACTGCCTGGAGAAGGCACACTGCTCTCTGGGTGGTGCTGAGGGCTGCCTACCTCCAGCTGCCTATCTCCAGCCCTGGGGGCACAGAGGATGGCCTCCCCCTTGGGCCTGGGGGCCTGGAGAGGCTATCAGCCCCACTGGATATAACGTAACAGGGTAGCTGCTTACATTTTCCCAGAATACAGACATAGTTAGGTAATGTGGCAAGTGCAAACATAAAAAACAGTTAGCTACAGCTATGACATACTGAAGCTGCAGTGGTTACAAAAACATGTTTGTACTGGTCATGGGGATGGGACCTTTGGAAGAAACAGCCAGCATGCTCATCTCATGGTCCCAAACTACTTCCAACACTTTATTAGGTATTAAAAGCCCAACCTGCCCCTTACCCAGATGCAGAAACCTAGAGCTTTCCTTAATATTATCATCTACAGGTAAGCATGCATTTTCAATATAAAAAATCTGTGGCACATGCAGTGTGGGGACAATGAAAAAAATTAAATTTACTGTCAAAACTAAAAGACTACAAGGGCGACAATAACTGTTATTTCATTTCCTACCTAATCCAATAAAACCCTTCAATTCAAATGAAGCTGCTCCAGTGACACAGAGCTTTGCTGCAGAATTTAGGTCCAACTTCCTGCAGAGTATTCTGGTTTTTATCTACACTACAGGAACATTAAAATGGTCATAGTGAAAAAGCCATTAAAAAAAAAGATACCACTGTAGAGATTTTTCAGTACTTGTATTTCTACCATAACCTGTAATTATACTTGGCATCAAAATGCAAATCATGTCTAACTGGTCAAGTTTAGATTGATAGAAGACACCAAGAAATGTACTCACTTTGAAAGAGACACACCACCTGCTTTCCCAATCATTTCCTCATGGTGCAGCACTGCTTGATTCCATGGAATGTGGAGAAACTTTAATAGAGTTCTCATCCACCTTTCGGGATGTAATACAAGCTGTTCATAGTGTACCAGCATGCATCTTTCAAAACCAACCTCCATGCACTGGTTATACATAGTCTCTATAGCACGATTCCACTTGGTCAGACAGTCCCTGTAGCTGTTAAGGTCAAACCCAGCTATGGTGACTTTTCTAGATATCATGGAATGCACCGATGCACGACCATCCCGTACCATTAGAAGAAATTTGGCATTGGGAAAAATTCTGGCAAGATAAGTTAAGGACTTCAGAGCAAAAGGATCTTTATTACATAAATAGGGAGCAGGTTCCCCATGTTTAACAATGATTTCCAATAAAAAGGCTTGCATGGCTGAGTCCAGAACTTCATCTGTCACCCCTGCTTCATCCAGTCTGATTTTCTCTTTACTTGATCGGGCCCACATCTGTTTAACTGCCAGGATTCGAGGAATTACCCTAGTCTCTTCTCCACAGCGGATATCAGGGTGAGCATCTAGCATGGCACGCATTAGAGTAGTGCCACTTCGAGGCACTCCTCCAATAAATATTAAAGGCATGTCTTTATTGTAAGCAAAGGTTTTATTTGCTTTTAAGTTAAAGACTGTTCTTATTGTGCTTCTCTCACTTTCCATCCTCACTGGCTGGCTGCGTTCTTCTATTCTGTGGTGACACTCCATAGCATGTTGCCCCAAATAAAACACTGTAACTGAACTGATCACAAGACATGCTAGCAACAAATTCTGTTTGAGTTTTCCAACCATTTTGATACAATAGTCACTTTAAATAAACCAATCTTTTACTCCGGATTATCTTCAGATTTTCGCGCCATGGAGATTATAGTCCAAGATGTTCCGGATCTGGTGGGAATAAAAGAAAAAATTACAACTGCACTAAAAACTATTACAGATTAACATACATCCATCACTATGCCAGATATTTCAGCTGGAGATAAGTTACAGGATCCCTGGTGCAATGTTAATACCACTGAACATAATACATATAACACAAACTGTTGTAACAAAATATGTATTCCATGTTATACAAATGTACTTCCCTTATATCAGTAAGGCCACCTATTACCCCCTCCAACACATATATTCCATGAGGGCTTGTTCAGTTCCTTTGTTTCTCTGTGATAGCGCCAAAGCTGTCTCCAGACAGCCAGATGACTCTATTGTTACTGTTTAGTAAGATAGTCAGCTATATTAATCAAGAAAATATTCAGAATAAATTGACCCACTGGACATCCACTACTAAATACTATGGCTAAGCAAAGATGTCACTTATATACGTGTCAGCAAATTGAAAGGAAAAAATATTAAAGATATGTACTTTGTTATTATTCATTGATCTTAACTGTGCTCTTAGCATTTCACAAAAGGAAAAAAAAAAACCTGAGCTCCTTCAGGCAAGAACTGTTTAGATAAAAAATAAGTCAGATAAAAATTGTGATACAATTTAAATAAAATCTGAATCGACATGTAAGTTGGCTGTTGGAAACTGCTAAAAAATTTGGAATATTAGAATAATTTCCATGATGGATAAATGGTAGATGATGTGGTCACAAGAATGAGATACATAGATACAGGATAAATGTTGTGTCTCGTTTCCACACATACATTTTGTCTTCTATCATATCTGTGAAACCCCAATGCCTTCAGTAGACTTGAACAGATATACAGGCAGTCTCCGGGTTACGTACAAGATAGGGACTGTAGGTTTGTTCTTAAGTTGAATTTGTATGTAAGTCGGAACTGGTACATATTATAGGGGAAACTCTAGCCAAACATTTCTCCAGAGCTCAGTTTTATTCTCCCACACCTCACTTCCCTCGGTCCTTTATTCTCAAGCTGAGGTGTCTGCTGAGAAAAGCCACTCCGCGTCTCCCTGGTCTGCTGGGGGGAAGCAGCTAGTGCGGGGTTGCCTCACCCCGTTTGTAAGTAGGGATCCGATGTAAGTCGGATCCATGTAACCCGGGGACTGACTGTAAATCAGTGGCAGCATCTTTATTACTTGTAAAGATGGAACTTTCAGATTCCATATTGAGTTTAGCGGGCTGACAAATCATGTACAGGCAGTCCCCGGGTTACATGGATCCGACTTACATCGGATCCCTACTTACAAACGGGGTGAGGCAACCCCGCACTAGCTGCTTCCCCCCAGCAGACCAGGGAGACGCAAAGCTAGCGCCCCCCCCTCCCCCCCCAGCAGACCAGGGAGACGCGGAGTGGCTTTTCTCAGCAGACACCTCAGCTTGAGAATAAAGGACCGAGGGAAGTGAGGTGTGGGAGAATAAAACTGAGCTCTGGAGAAATGTTTGGCTAGAGTTTCCCCTACAATATGTACCAGTTCCGACTTACATACAAATTCAACTTAAGAACAAACCTACAGTCCCTATCTTGTACGTAACCCGGGGACTGCCTGTACTTACATTTGCCAAGTTAAAAAGTTCACTATGGAATCCTACAAAGATTTTTTCTAATCTTCCTACATATCTCAATGCAGGGGGTTAGAAGACTTCTGCATAGACAATATTTATGACCATCTGGGACACAGTATATGACTCACTCAGACACTATACCTAGTAAAAATAGGAGCGAAGTCTTCTAATGTATCTCTGGAGCATTGCATACATGTTGAAAGGCGAATGAAATATATAATTTCTGCTCTCAGATACAATGGTGCAATACCACTGAAGCCAGTGAAGATACTACATGTTGTACACTGTAAGACGAAGGCCTGAAATAAAAGCCCATGTTGCACAGGACTGGTGTGAGGCCTAGCTAACAATGTTCAAGACTATTCAAAATGACCTTAGCATTCAAAATGACCTTAGCAAGTTAGAGAAATGGTCAGAGGTAAACAGGATGAGGTTTAATAAAGAGAAATGCAAAGTGCTCCACTTAGGAAGGAACAATCAGTTCCATACATACAAGATGGGAAGCGACTGTCTAGGAAGGAGCATGGCAGAAAGGGATCTAGGGGTCATAGTGGACCACAAGTTGAATATGAGTCAACAGTGTGATGCTGTTGCCAAAAAAGCAAATATGATTCTAGGTTGTATCAACAGGTGTGTTGTAAGCAAAACTCGTGAAGTCATTCTGCCGCTCTACTCTGCACTAGTTAGGCCTCAGCTGGAGTACTGTGTCCAGTTCTGGGCGCCATATTTCAAGAAAGATGTGGAGAAATTGGAAAGGGTACAGAGAAGAGCGACAAGAATGATTAAAGGTCTAGAGAACATGACCTATGAAGCCAGGCTTCATGAACTGGGCTTGTTTAGTTTGGAAAAAAGAAGATTAAGGGGGGACATGATAGCGGTTTTCAAATATCTAAAAGGGTGTCACAAGGAGGAAAGAGAAAATTTGTTCCTCTTGGTTTCTGAGGACAGGACAAGGAGTAATGGGCTTAAAGTGCAGCAGGGGAGGTTTAGATTGGACATTAGGAAAAAATTCCTAACTGTCAGGGTGGTCAAATATTGGAATAAATTGCCAAGGGAGGTGGTGGAATCTCCCTCTCTGGAGATATTTAAGAACAGGTTAGATAGACATCTGTCAGGGATGGTGTAGGTGGAGCTTGGTCCTGCCTTGAGGGCGGGGGGCTGGACTCGATGACCTCTCGAGGTCCCTTCCAGTCCTATTATTCTATGATTCTATGATTGACTTTACTAATATAAAGCAAAGCCAAGCTGTGAACAAGAAGCAGGCCCCTGCTCACAGAACTTGGCACGAATAGGCTGATTGTGTAAAATGTTAGTTGGTACTAGGCACAGGTGTAAAATAGTAATTGGTCCTGGGCATAGGTTGAAAGCACATTCCAAAGGGATGGTAACACCACCTCATTAAAAAGGACCCTGGTACCCACACTCCCCACAGACAGCAGGTTCAGGAAAGGGTCTAAAATGACAGCATAATGGGACTATTTTGAGTCGAGGGTGATGGGTGGTGGCTAAGAAACATCAGAGGATGGCAGCCTGACGTGTTAGGAATCGTGTGTAAGTTGTTTGTATGGATATATAAAAGTGTGCCTTGGAGGGGCTGTCTTTGTCTGGCCTAGGAGGCAGTGGGACTTCCCACTCTGAGCTAGTCCATTGTCAGGGGGTACATATGTGTAGTGATTCACTAGAGTCTACTGAAAACTATTACTTACTTCATTTGACAATAAACCTGGCCATGCACCTTCGATCCTTATCTGATTTTGTACACTTTGGGGGCCTCTCGGTGTAAGGTCAACACAATAAACAGGGGGAGCACACACACACGCAGGCAAATGCTTATTATCACTGATAGAGCAGACCTGTCAGGAGATCACCACAGTGAATCCTGACTGCTACACAACACAGTACAATTATGTCCACTATGTTAGTTAAGACTAATAAGAGACTTGTTAAAATACAGCTACATTTTGTATTCAGTTGGTGATCTTAGGGTACAGGGCTGACTGCTTCTCTGAAAATAGGTTAAGGGGGTCTGAGGTACAGTAGAACCTCAAAGTTACAATCACCAGACTGACTGGTCAACCACACATCTCATTTGGCACCAGAACTACCCAATCAGGCAGCAACAGAGACCCACAAAAAAGCAATTACAATACTTTGTTAAACGTAAACTACCAAAAATATAAAGGGAAAGTTTTCAAAAAAGATTTAACAAGTTAAGGAAAGTGTTTTTATGATTATTTCATTTAAAGTAAGTTGATTAAAACAGCATTTTTCTTCTGTAAAATTTCAAAGCGGTATTAAGTTAATGTTCAGTTGTAAACTTTTGAAAGAACCACCATAAAGTTTTGTTCAGCATTACAGACATGTCAGAGTTACAAACAACCATGAGTCTCAAGCTGCCCCTTGTGCATGCGCCTTGTCGGGGCGGGGCAGCTTGCGCGTTCTTATGATCCCAGGAGCTATGCCAGTGGGAACTTAGTGCTTCTGGTAAGTTCAACCAAGCCGGAAAGGTCAAGGGGGGAGGAGCCAGGCTAAGCATTTACACTGGTCCTTCAGGATTGGGGGTTTGGCTCAGGGCTAGCAACCCTGACCTAGAAAAAGCTTTTGTTATGGAAACAGCAACAAAGAAATTCCTTCTCAACTGTGTGTGATGGCCTTCCAGAGTCACTTACAATGATTTGTATGACTGCCAGTGGGGAAAGCAGAAATGAAGCTATTGACATGAAGATGGGAGTCCTGAGCACCACGATTAAGACCAGAACTGGATTACCTGCTTGCACGGTGCAAACAAGATGACATGGCTACCATCATTATGAAAAGACGCTGGAGATGGATTGGGCACACGCTCAGGAAAGATGGAAGCTTCATCACAAAGACTGCTGTGTACTGGACCCCTGAAGGGAAGCGGAAATGAGGACGACTCAAGACAACATGGTGCCGGACCACTTGGGGCACTATTGAGAGGCTGGCCAGAGACAGACAGAAGAGGAGAACCTTTGTTGCTGCCCTATAGGCTAGTGGGCATGAAGGCAAAGTGATGATGATGAGGGCCATTCTCGAGGTGTTTGTAACTCTCACGCAGTGCTGTACATAAAGGCAATCAACAGGGGATTTGGGAGCAAGACACAGGAACAGAGCCCACACTAGCCTCAAGCCTGAGTGCTGCCAGGGCATCACCACCACCAATTATCAGCCAAAGATTTAAAACCGGCACCACGTTAACCAAAAGTCTTTCCAGTAGAAATAACGGGAAAGCTTGATTTGCTCTTTTTGAGAAGAGTAACAATCGTGTGGAATGAAACAAGTTTTCTGTTTCAGTAATTCAAATAAAAAGCCTGATACTACAAACACTCAAAAATGAGAGCTCACACGGAAATGGGAGCTCCACCCACAGAAGACTTACGGGAAAGGGCTCATAGTAGGGATGTAAAATCCCATTTAATCAGTTAAACCCTTGCAAGCAGCTTAGAGCAGTCAGCTGCAGGCCATGAGCTCTGGGGGGCAGAGGGCAGGGCTACTTTGCATGCTACTTGCCCAGCTCCCATTGGCTGGTTTCCCCTCAGCTCATGGTGGTGCTCAAGTTACAGTAGGGGAGGTCTAGGTTGGATAGTAGGAAAAACTATTTCCCTAGGAGGATGGTGAAGCACTGGGATGGGTTACCTAAGGCGGTGGTGGAATCTCCATCCCTAGAGGTTTTTAAGTCTCAGCTGGACAAAGCCCTGGCTGAGATGATTTAGTTGGGATTGGTCCTGCTTTGGGCAGGAAGCTGGACTCAATGACTCCTGAGGTCTCTTCCAGCCCTAGGATTCTATAGTTCTAGGACTATGGTGGTGCCGATTAAATCGGTGCCAGCATCAGCGCCACATGTTGAAATCTCCCTAGGGAACTCGAGCAGTACTGGGAAAGTCTGGATCCTGAATGGTGCCAACCGCTTCTGGACCTCAACCTTGGCACGAAACACCCGTCGCCCAGCACCATCCTGGGAGTCAGTGCCAGTGGAGGCGTACGCTGCACCAGTGGAGGTAATCCCTCCGACGAGGATGTCCTGTTCTGGTGTTATTCTGTGGACAGTGGTCTATGCAGCATCGCCATCTTCCCCCTTGCGTGTTGCGGTTTCGGCAGTGCCAATGGCTTATCGGGAACCCTGCATGCCTCCGCCTCCGAGTCCATGAGGTCTCAGGCTGCCTCATAGGTATCAGGCATCAAGGGAGAGTTCAGCACCTGCACCGGACTTATAACCCTCTGTGACAGGACATGTGCCAGACTCGACAGTGCTGGAGTTGACCGCACGTCCTGGACTTCTCACGCTAGAGACCACCAACGCATTTGGTCCTGCCTCAGCCAAGATTTAAGAGGGGATGTACTCCTATCTTCCCTCCTGCCTCGCAGTACTGGTGAGGTGGACCAGTGTCTCAGTGCCACGGTCCCCAGCGTCGGGTGTCCTTGGCTGCGCTCAGTTTTGGCACGTTATCGCACACAGAAGCCGGAGCACTCTGTACACAGAGCTGGCTCCAAGTGCTGACTTCTCTGCCTGATGGGGTTTTAGTGCCACTTCCATAAGGAGCTGCTGGAGCCTGTACTCCCAGTCCTTTCTGGTGCGGGACTTAAAACTTCTATCGATTTTGCACTTCTCAGTGCAGTGTTCTTCACCCAAACAGCAAAGGCATGCAGATCACTGTTGGGACTGGGGAGCTTACAAACTGTGCATGATTTAAAGCCTGGGGCTACAGTTCTTGGGCACTAGTCCGCTATCTGCTGATGCTGAAGACTCTGCTACATGAGCAGAGATGACAATGAAGAGCTATAGCTAGGGACTAGACACTTGCCAAGGCAAGAGCTAGAACATTCCAATGCCACTATGGACAGTAAGAAGGAACTGGCAGAGGGCAAGGTTGGCAGTGGTATATATGCGCTGATATAGCAGCGTCACTCTAGGGGTCTCCACAGCCGACTGTACGGGAGCTGTTAGGGAAAAGTTTCAGATGCTTGTGTATGGGGTGTACATACACCTGATTGGAATCAACGTGAACAAGCACTCAAAGTAGAATGCGTCATTGTTCAGCATTAGGGATATTAAATATTGATTAATTAACTAGTCGAGTAACCTCATGAATTCTTATCGGTTAGTCGACTATTCTATAGTCCCTGGGGGTGGAGCCAGCAGCCAGTGCTCTTGGGCCCCTCTCCTGAGGAACTCCCTGCAACTCGGTGATGCTGCCTCTGTATCAGATACAGCAGCATGAGGTGCCAGGCGGGAGCTGGTACATGAGGGGAGACAGTTGAAAAACCAGCTCCCCTCGCAGACCGGCTGCCTGTCGCCCTGTGCTGATGCCTCTGGTAAAAAGGCAACAACACAGGGTGGCAGCAGCCCCTGTCTTGGGGGACTGGGTGTCTGAGCTCCCAGACCCGGTACGAGCCAGAACTGAGCTGGACCTCCTGCCCACCTTGCTCCTAATACACTTCAAATGCAGAACTGCAGCAGGGGGAAGTCCTGGACCCATCGCAAGCCAGGACTGAGCCGAGCTGCTGGCCAGCCTGCTAAAAAGTTTGCTGGTGGGGGAGGGGAGGGAAATGCATGTAGTCTCTAGTGTTAACTGATAAGCTTTTTCTTATTGGTTAATCGGCTACACGATTATATCCCTATTTGGGACCAGACAAAGATTGCACACATGAGGAAGTTTTTCTTTTACAAACTAAAGATGGATGTGCCTCTGCTCTTAGAATGCATGGAAAGATACTTTACAGCTATCAGCATCTACTCCTGCAACAAACCTGCATAGTATTTTTTCGATTTGAGGTGTCTCGGGATTTTAATTCTTTTGAGAAGTGGATTAGAGATTCCAAGAGCACATTGTAAGAAAATTCACAACAAAGTTTTTAAAAAGACACATGTATCCTCAGGATAAGGTTACATTTACCCATTAGGGATGCGAAATCCTGTTTAAAATGTTAACCGGTTAAATGATATGTTTAACTGGTTAGCTGCCCGCAGCATACCACTGGCCCAGTTGGGCCAAAGTAGACCCTGGCCCACAACTGCTCCAGCCCAGCTACTGGTAAGCATCATCCAAGTAAGTAAGGCTCTTATTTCCATCTATTAGATACTGGTTTGTTTTGAATTGAGTGATACCATCAATTGAGCCTCTCAGAGTGTCAGATATATAAAAAGCTCTATGGTTAAATATCATACATCTCCCAAAATATATTTGTAAAAGACGATAAAAACAATTAACAGACTTCAGACGAGCCAGTGCAGGTTCATTCAGATCCCTGATGGCTTCAGTTCTACCTTCTCCTCTCCTTCCTATGGGATATCTTATGCAAGGGCAGGGAAACTTTTTTTGAGTACAGGGCCACTGACCCACGGAAAAATCAGCTGGGGGCTGCACACAAGTAAGAAACCAAAAAAAAAAAAAAAAAATCCCAAACCCTCACTAACGAGGCCCCTAAGAAAGAGAAAGACCCTCCCTACATTCCCCTCACACACCAGAGCCTAGTGGAGCCTAAGCTAGTAGGTTTTGTGTGCTCCACTTCCTCAGTAGGCGCAGGCTCCCCAATGCTAGGAGGGAAGCCCTGAGCCTCAGGGGCTGGATCCAGGCAAGCCAGGGGCCACATCCAGCCCCCTGGCCTGAGATTTCCCCAGCCCGTCTTATAGTCTAAAGATTCTAAATCCAAAAGTACATTGGAAGTCACATATTACCCAGTAAATACGATGATGAATGTATTGTACACTCTGTAACACTCATGCACTGTATGTATACAGTTACATATATAGGGAGTGTCCAACTTACCAATGGGTTGTGTTCCAAAAGTTCGTTTGTAAGTCAGTTGTTTGGAACTCGGAACACACAAAAGCAATGTTATAAATGGCAGTTAGCTCACAAAAGCCTATTTAACCCATAATGTAACAAACACACAATTAAAATAGTGTTTTATTTAACCTTGAATACTTTTGCTTGAGGAAAGGTAGGTTTAATTAGAGATAAGGAGGTAGGTGGAGATTCTGAGCATCCCTGGGCCACTATGGCTCCCCCTCTCAACCAGCTCCTGCAGCCAGCCCCATTCCCCATCCACTTCCCCACCCACCCACCCACCCACACACAGAGAGAGAGAGATTTCACCCACCTGCTGTAGGTGGCAGCGAGCTGCATGAGCGCTCTCTCTCTCTGTGTATATATATATATGACAGAAAGAGCGTGACTAATTTTACATGTAAAGTTATAATTCATAGAATCATAGAACACTAGAACCGGAGGGGACCTTGAGAGGTCATCAATCCCAATCCCCTGCCCTCACGGCAGGACCCAGTATCGTCTAGACCATCCCTGATATAGGTGGCAGCGAGCTGCATGAGCGCTCTCTCTCTCTGTGTATATATATATATGACAGAAAGAGCGTGACTAATTTTACATGTAAAGTTATAATTCATAGAATCATAGAACACTAGAACCGGAGGGGACCTTGAGAGGTCATCAATCCCAATCCCCTGCCCTCACGGCAGGACCCAGTATCGTCTAGACCATCCCTGATAGAGGTCTCTCCAACCTGCTCTTAAATATCTCCAGAGATGGAGATTCCACAACCTCCCTGGGCAACTTATTCCAGTGTTTAACCACCCTGACAGGCAGGAAGTTGTTCTAAAGCCCAATCTAAACTTCCCCTGCTGCAGTTTAAACTCATTGCTTCTTGTTCTATCCTCAGAAGCCAAGGAGGATAATTTTTCTCCCTCCTCCTTGTGAGACCCTTTTAGATGCCTGAAAACCACTATCATGGCCCCTTTCAGTCTTCTCCTTTCCAAACTAAACAAGCCCAAGTCTTTTAGTCTTCCTTCAAGCTCATGTTCTCTAGACATTTAATCATTCTTGTTGCTCTTCTCTGGAGCTTCTCCAGTTTTTCCACATCTTTCTTGAAATCTGGTGCCTAGAACTGGACACAATACTCCAATTGAGGCCTGCTCAGCACAGAGTAGAATGGAAGAATGACTTCTCGGGTCTTACTCACAACACTTCTGTGAATACATCCCAAAATCACGTTTGCTTTTTTTGCAACAGCATCACACTGTTGGCTCATATTTAGCTTGTGGTCCACTATGACCCCTTTCTGCAGTACTCCTTTCTGGACAGTTGCTTCCCATTCTGTATGTATGAAATTGATTGTGCAAGGAATGATGGACGCCAGGGTAACCATCTTGAATTTAGACTTCACTATGACAGCGTTCAGATCCCTCAGGTCCAGAATAGGACAAAATCCACCCTTGGCCTTTGGGACTAGGAAGTAGCGGGAGTAGAAACCCCTTCCCCTGAGGACCAAAGGTACCTCCTCTACTGTCCCCAGATCAAGGAGCTTTTGCACCTCCAACCTGAGAAGATGCTCGTGAGAGGGGTCCCTGGAGAGGGACGGGGAGGGGGAATTAGAAGGGGTGCGGGAGTGGAAGCCCACGGAGTCCAAAACAGCCACTGCTCCGAGTGTTGCCACTGTGAGGGCCAAGACTGAGACATACCCGAAACACTGCCCTGGTGATCACGGTACCGAGAGTGGGAGCAGCATTGGGACCTGAAGCGGTGCCGAGATCCAGAGTGGTGCCGGGACCTGGAGCAGTGCCGGGAGAAGGAGCAGCGCCGGGAGTGGGAGACCAGTGCTCTAAACCGCACTGACTCCATGCTGGATTCCAATGAGTAGTTAGACTCCGACCACGGAGGAGCCAAAGACGGACCCGGGGAGTGGTGTCCCTCTGCATGCCGTGCCATGGATGCTGGCTTGCCCCTGTGCCACAACGACGGTGACAGCATTAAGTGCCCCAGTGCCATGGACTGGGCCACTGGAATCAGGGCGCTGGACGCTGAACTCTCTCTAGATTCACTCTAGAGGGATGTCATCGGTACTGAAGGACCCAACAGTGCTGGCGTCGATGTGAGTGCTGGGGAACACACCACCAGATGGGGCGCCAGTGTGGAGGGTGGAGCCGGCCTGCCTTGGTCTGGTGCTCAATCAGCTCCTGAGCTACCTCAAATGTATCCAGCGTGGAGGGCCTTTCAACCGGTACAGGCTCCTCCATCATGCTGCTGCCCTTGGATGCGCTCGACTGGCCGCGTTCCAGCCCAGAAGCAGCTGCCCTCACGGGCACACTGCAGGCGCATTCTGGGATGAGGACCTGCCCTTTTCCGCCCTCCTCTTCTTACGGGGCACTGGGGACTGCGACCAGTGCTGCGCCGCCAGGTGCCTTGAAGCCGACGGAGCCCCTGACGAACCCAGTGTCTCCCGCACCAAGTGAGGTGCACTGTAGGATTCTGGTGCCGCACCCTCTGCCGGAGCACTGACTCCATAAGGAGTATCTTCAATCGCAAGTCTCTCTCTCGCTGAGTCCTGGGCTTAAACTACGGCAGATCCTGCTGTTAGCTGGGACTTGGGACTCATTCAGACACTTCAAACACAACTGGGCATGGGTTTTGAACAGTCAGCACAGGGCTTAAAGCTGTGAGGCCCTGGCATGCCCCGCAAACCAAGAGGGAAGGGGACACAACTGGCGAGCCCCAACCCAACGACTTATCCAACGCTATCTAAACAGGTACTTAACAGGGGAAGCAACTTGGTAGAAAACAAAGGGGATCAAGTAGGTGGTAACTACTCTAAGAGACTTGTGGATACCACTGGGATCGCATTTGTGAACAAGCAAGAAGGGAGTTCCAACAACCCTCCTGGGCGGTAAGAAGGAACTAAGGGGCTGGAGGGCCAGCGGGGATATATGTGCACCGAAAGAGCGGCACCACTCCAGAGGAATCCCCAGTTGGCTCGACAGGGAAAACTCTCCAGCAATCCATGCACGTGGTGCGCGCACACCAAAGTGGAATGGACATGAGCAAGCACTCAAAGAAGAACTAGTGCTTTTTTAAGGGTTAGGTTATAGTCTAATTTAAATTCTCCTTTTTAAGATATATTCAGTATGTGCAAGGTATGAAATCAGCCAAATTCTATGCAGTCATGCACTGTCACAGAAAGTGGAGTTACACCAGTGAAGTCCAGCACGTGCCAGGTTACTGTTGGTAGGATAACAATATTTCCTTTTTCCATCATATTACATTAGAACCATTTTAAAATGAAATTCCCTGGTACATTAAGAAAAGTAGAGCTGCTCACTATAGCATTTAAGCAGTCCAGTGCATTTTCAACTTAAAAACTTAGATAAGAGAAAGGAATAAGAGACAAGTTAAATCCTTTACTGCAGCTACTGATTGGCTAGACACAACTTTCTACAGAGATGAGTTAGGGCAGCAGTTCTCAAACTTTTTGGGTGTCTGGCTGGTGAGTCTTGCCCACATGCTCAGGGTTTAGCTGATCGCCATATTTGGGGTCAGGAAGGAATTTTCCTCCAGGGTAGATTGGCAGAGGCCCTGGAGGTTTTTCGCCTTCCTCTGTAGCATTGGGCACAGATCATAGCTGAAGGACTCTCTGCATGTTGGGGCCTTCAAAGTATCTGAAGGCTTCAATATCTGAGACATAGGTGAGAGGATTATTCTAAGAGGGGTGGGCGAGATTCTGTGGCCTGCACTGTGCAGGGGGTCAGACTAGATGATCATAATGGTCCCTTCTGACCTTAAAGTCTATGAGTCTATGAGCCCTTTACATGCGTAAAAATTTATGCGGAGCCCCTGCGTACCGTACCGATTGTACGTGCGGAGCCCCAGCGCTCCGCCGATTGTACGTGCGGAGCCCCTGCGCTCCGCCGATTGTATGTGTTGTACCTATAGATGCTTCCAGTTTGTCAACCTCGTGGAGCTGTGGAGATGTCTCACAGAGTCCCTGGGGCTCCGCGGAGCACAGTTTAAGAAACACTGAGTTAGGGAAACAGCATTGCTACTGCCCTTCTAAAGTAGGTTTCAAATATTCTGGGGCAGTTAGCTTGTCCTCCACTTCCTTCTCTTGAACCTCTGCTAAAATTCTGATAACTGGACTTCTTCCCCAAAAGACAAACTGAAGTTGTAGTTCAGATTGTTATGGGTTTTGTCTTGCTTTTCCTGAGTGGTATGCCTCAGTTTTTGGCCAAAGTGGCTCTGAAGAAAATTGGTAGGAGGACATTTTGTCATATAGCATCTGACTGTTTTATCAGGCCACCCACCCTTTGGACATTTTCTCTGGAGCCTGTCTGTTCCCTTGATATGACTCAGATAAAGGCAATGGAGCAAGGAGAACGATGGCTACATTTCTTCCTCAGTAAGTAGAGGCAATTCAAGACAGCTTTGCCCTCTTCTGGGTTATGTCCCCACCTATTAAATTTCCACTCCAAACTCAAAGTAACAGGGCTCTCCAACTCCTCTGAGAATTTATTTGTGTCTTGAAAAACCTTCTACCCATCAAGTTGTGCTTTCCTTCTTAGAAAATGGTCTCTTCTCCCTCCCTCCACCACTCCTTCTCCTTGCCTCTGGTCTAAGGAATAACAAGGCTTACTTGCCCACAAATCCACGCCCTCAAAATGTTATGAGTCTTACCCCTGCAAGGTCTGAAGTCAAGGAGCTGTTCAGTTACCATTCTGGTGAAGTCAGCCTTTGATACCCAGAGATGTGGGCCTAAACCGGCCAACAGAAGCTGTAAAGGGAAACTCATCTGAAAGTGACAGCATAAAGGAGCTAAATTGTCTCCTGGTAAAAATACAGCAGGAAGGGGTGGACTGAAAGAATGAGGTGAACCAAGTGGTCCAATTCATCAGTAATTCAGGTCCAAGCTGCTTTCATCTCCTTTCCTCCATGGCCTGGAGTTGGAAGAAAAGACTGACCACAGCAGTGGCTGATGATAAATGCCTGAGCAATTCTGCATCC